GGACACAATATCGTATACTAAACAAGGGCCCAACTATGAAGATCAATGAAATCTTATGTGCCATGCTTAAAGATATGCATAGGAATGGGGAAATTGACGCATGGACAAGAAATTTAATCATAAGAAAGGATGCATGACACCAACAGCCTACAGATTACCGAAGATACACAAAGAAGGCCAGTCACTAAGACTGATAGGCAACAACAAGTATGGAGAAACGCACAAATTGGCAAAGTTTATATGTTTGAAACTTAAGAAATTAAATGAGAAGCTATCAAACACGGTGAAACATTGATATGAATTTTTTCAAAAATCAAAAACATGGCACTGGAAGAAACGGAATTATTGGTAAGTTTCGATGTGTAATCCATGTATGCAAATATCTTTGGAGAAAATGCGCTAATGGCCTTGCTGGAAATCCTTGATGTTGAGGAGGATATCCTGGAATCACAACGGATCGGTAGGGAGTCGTTAACAAGATTAAACAACTTGACAATAAGGACAACCTATTTTACATTTTACGGGAACATATATGAACAAATATTTGAACTTCCCATTGGATCGCCGCTCTCATCACTTTTGGCGAACGTTTAAATGAACAAAATAGAAGAGAAGTTTAAGATGGCACCGCTACGACCAGCAGTGCTCATACGTTACCTGGATGATTACTTCGCACTTTGGTCATATGGAAGAGAAAAACTATAAGAGTTTTTGAAGTTTGGAAAGCAGATTGATTAAAAAATTTAATTCACGATGGAAGTAGAAGAAGGTGAGCGGTTATCGTTTCTGGATGTTGAAGTGATTCGCTCTAATGGGACGCTCAAAAAGAAATTGTTCAGAAAGAAGTCTTATGCTCGGATAATACTTAATTTCCGGTCCCATCACAATTACAGGCTAAAGATAGGAATAATGAGGAGCAGAATCATCCCAAGCCTACGCTTAACAAATGTATAATTCTGGGACAAGGAGTTGGACAAATTGACTAGAATATTCCTCAGCAATGGCTGCTCAAGCGAAGTAATACAACGAAACATACGCGCAGTGAAAACTCGATGACAGATAGGGGACTATGAAAGAACAATAAGGACGGAGACAGATTCACAAAAGTAGATATGCCTTCCTTCCTGTGAACTAACTCAAAAACTATGACCAATATTGAGTAAATGGAATATTCAGGTGGGCATAAAAGAAAAATCAACACTTTTCACAACCCTACCGACGCAACATGAAAGGGTAGGCAAATAGGATGTTTAGGAGTTTACTGTCCATCATACGGCACATGCAAACCGAAATATATTGGCGAAACAGGGAGAAAAATTAGCACACGAATCAAGGAACATCAGAGGCTCTTCAGGAAA